CTTTAAACAATGTCTGAAAATGAGCAGGTATCCCTGAAACGTTGTAGCACTATGCGATGCCGTCTCTGATTCAATTTTTAAAACCTACGACTACCTAAATGATGGAAGTAGTAAGCTCGCGATAATATTCGATCATCACTTTACAAGTTTTCCACTGCTTAAAGATATCTGCATCACACAAGTCCGCGTTTCTCATTCATGTCGGATTGCCAGTCCGTGTCTGTTGTATATCAATGCGTCATAGGTTAGGCGAAATAAGTGATACGTTTGAGTATCATAAGAAATATGTGACAGTCATCATTTACAAAAGCATTACAGAACGCTAAAGTCGTACGTACTCCTATTTTCAAATATTGCTAAAATATACAACTATTTCTCCTGAAGCAGTGTTGTGTCATTGACGACACCACCGCAGATTCACCAGTTTGTTACCCATTGCACAGTCGATAGTGGCCTTCACGATGCAGAGTTCCGCCGTGCATGCGACGTCAACAATTGCAAGTTATTTCGAATTATGAACACATTATACATTGGACTTTTATCATTTAATTTTCCCCGTTGTGATCAGAGGCTTCTTAGTGATAGAAAGTCTTAGACCAATACTAAAAACGTAACATTACAAGCTCCTAGATCCGCCGCCACTTGACCAATTTTCAGTACCTCCATACATGAAAATTTCATCAAAATCCGAACGGTACTTTTCAAGTTATAGGCCGTTATAATATTAGCGGACAGACCGAGTGACATACAGACAGACGTGACATGGTTTCTTGTGATGTACATATATATAACGTCCAAAAAAACATATCAAATTTTCTAAATTTTTCGCGATTATAATGCTTTTCCGTCAGTAGACGTGGAAAGTAAAAATGACATTTTTAAGTTCAAACAAAGATCATTCAACCTGCTGCTGGAGCGCTACCTGCCCCGTACTGGTTTTAGCATGAAAACAACATTTGGCGTTGTCATTTTATACCCGGCAAAAAGTAGATGCAAGTAGATTGACTCAGTAGTCCACGCAATGTTTTTACTCTGTTTGAAATTCTAGGCACACACAAAATTGTACGCATCATTAAGACAAGACCAAAAATATGAGAAATGCTTGGTTTTACTTTTTTGGGCGCTTAAAGTGGCTCGAAGTAATCGGAAAGCTCAGGAATTTCGAAACAGGGATATTCTGTGATTTTTCGTTTTTTTGCGCACTTCATCAAAATGTCCTAAAATAAGTGGCATACGAAGTAGTGTTTCGTGATTTTCATATTATCCAGGCCCGTAAAATATTATTTCTGACCAACTAACGTGAGTAACAATATGGGTCTTGCAGTGTTAGCTTACTTAATGACTTTTAATGTTCGATTTAGGGACAATTTATTGTCTTCGTGGAAACGACCTAAAAAATGAGTAATTTTTCTCGCCAGTAGAGTGGAAAGTAAAATGAAGTATAAAGGTCCGGAATCACGAATCATTCACCTTACCCTTGCAAGACTATTTGCCATATCTCTAACACGTATCCCCATACCCGAAGACGAAAATCGAAGGAGACTTTCAACGCTAGTTATAAAATCGGCAAGTTTTAAAACAGGGCAAAAAATTACTGCCTAAAATCACCTACACGAGAGGTCACATTATTTTTTCAAAATCTGTAATTATTATATATATCAGTCACATTCGATTCACTGTTTCATCTACTTTTCAGAATACAAATAAAAAATAATTTCATATTTTTCCTTTATCGTTAGTACAAAGATATAATAAGCTCCACTTTCTGATCATAGATAATAATTCATGACAGACATCACTTATTAAACCCTTTCATGTATAAAATATACCTGGTGTTTCAAAATCGGCTCTCACTGCTGGGATATCGTAAACGATAGAGTAACGGAATCGGTTAAGGCGGGACATTCATAAATACAGGCTGACTCAACTGTGCAAGAAAACTATTTATGGGCTATTATAATAGTATCTCAAATTCTTTTTTTTCATCTTTATCTAGGGGCACACTTCTAAACTACACACATATATATATATATACAGGGTGTCCCAATTTTGACCGACACATCAAAGTTGCTTTTTTTAATGGAATGTCCTACTTTTTACTACATATTCGGATATGCCCTTTCAAAGGAAGATTGATATAACATGCGTTTTGATTATTAATTGTTGAGTATTTTGAATTCCACTTTAGCATTCATGTATGAAGTTTTTGAGTTATTTAAAATTGTTCGAAAATTGCACACTACGACTAAGGAAAATCGCAGTATCCATGAAAACAAAATATAAATAGATTTATGATTAAAACTAAGCAGCAGCAGTCGCGCAGGTAGAAGTCTAAATGCCAGGACACCGCGGTTGCTATGAGGATCCCAAAGAAATTTTGTTAATCCGATTTTTGAACTGTATAAGGTTAGTAGAACTGGGAAAAGCTTCCTCTTGTAGGTTGTTCCACAATCTCGACTCCCTCGGGACAAAGGATCGATCGTATCGGCCAGTTCTGGATATACGAAGTTCGACACGGTTATGATGGGAGGCCGGTCTGTCTTACAGGCACATCGCGCGGCGGCATCATGGAGGAGAGCTCTGAGGAGCAAAGCCCGTTGCTGTAGCGGTAGAAGGGAGCTAGATCGCCGGTGCTAAAGGGTCCCAAAACTGTCCGTTAGAAAAGAGTCATCGATCAGTCGTACAGCCCTTCTCTGGACAACATCGATAATAGATAATGGAGTCGGGGCGGCAGCACCCCAAACGTGTGAACAATACTTGATGCTAGGTCTTATCTGGGCCTTGTATAGAGTGAGGAGGTCATTCGGAGAAAAATACTTCTTAGCCCTAAACAAATAGTCTAGCTTTTTCCCAGCAGCTGCCGCTATTGACGAGATGCGTATGTGCCAGATCAAGTCCTTGGTGATCTGGACCAGCCGAACTGAACAGCACTTTGGCAAAACTGGGCGATTCATCCCAGATGGAAGCATTAAACTGTAAGATATGACAGAAAATAAAATTTCTTTCAGACCACAGGCATTTCACCATACAAAAACCTCTGCTTTGTCCGTGTTGAATGTGAGTGAGCCGCCTATTCAAACTTTGTACCTCGTATTATGTTCGAAATACCAACTTAGAGTACCGAATTTGAAACACCCGGTATATTATATACAACTGTATGGATGCGTGGTCGCATAGTACAGTGATAACGAAAATCAATTGATTTCTTGAAACGATACTATTTTAAAACCAGTAACGCCATCTGTGAATCACAAAGCGCAACTCTAACCAATGTTCATAAAGATCGCTATTCACATTAGGGTGTTCAGAGCTAAAACGTCAATTCTTGAATGTCTCCACAGGGTTGCCAGACGTGGCGATTTTTCGCCAAAGTGACGATTTGACAGCTTCAAATAGCGACTAAAATGGATTGCTTGGCGATTGGGTACTTTAGTGGCGCCAGTATCCAGCGAAATGGTGATATCCGACGATTTTTAACATTTCTGAATTAATCTGAAATACATTTTTTCAGATATGTATATAGATTAACGAAATATGAAATGAGGACCAGCGGAAGTTCTGTGCTCTAAGCACGTTTATGGTCAAATGTCATGTCAAGGAGTCGTGTTCCGAACATATCATGGACATCCCGTCCAGACACTTTTGTGTTGCTAGATGTACAATTAGTACCGTTTTTGTACAATAAGCGAAAGAGAGCCCCCTCCAAAAAAAAAAAGATCACTGACGAAAGGTAAATACGAAGAAAATTATTGCCTCCCGTTCTTTAATTTTCAATAGTCGGTAACCTCCCTCCCCTTTTTTTCCGTTGTCGCAAGAACATTCGCGCCCAGAAGTCCCCCACCTCAAAATGTCTCTCAGGATCTGCCTCCTGTGAATGAACTTATAGCAAAGCTTATATAACAATCAGCTATGAAACTCCTGTCAGTGTTGAAAACGGCCGCCAATTTGGTGGAGAATGTCGAATGTAAATTCCCAAAGTAGAATGATGAAAGAGGTTTCATCGTTCCATAATGAATAGTCATAGATGGTGTTTCCCCATACAATGCTAGCAAGAAAATGTTTTAGAATAAATTTGCAATGTTTACTTTTGTTTGATTTATTTATATAGAAGAAATGATGGAACCAGGCGAAAACATATCTTCACCGCTTCACATTTTATAGAAATAATATTGATTTAAAAGGATGCTATGATGGTACCATAGAATTGGCCCACACATTTCATTTTGAGACCACATGAAGGTTTTAATGGAGGTTTCAAGAAACATTGTTATTCATTTTCACATAAATCATAGGAGGGTCCCGTGCTTGGTATGTGATGAGATTTTCGTAAATTTGAGCATCAGCATTTCTATTGCATTTTTTGGTCAGCAGGTCAAATCCCATCCATACCCGACAATTTTTTTCTTTTTTGTTGTCTTTTGAATTATTTTATTGACCTATTTTAAAATCAACGCGTATGAATATTTATTAGTTTGTAGCATTTGATGTTTAGAGTATTATACAAATTTATTCTGAAGCTTTTTCATAAATAAATAACAATCAATACTTCGTCGCTTTGGGGCCACTAGCATGGTACGCGGCAACACCGCCGAGGACTACTCAGTACAGAACACTGAAACATCCTTCATATTGTACTGGGGGAATTTACATTTGACATTCTCCGATAAAATGGCAGTCGTTTTTGACAATGACAGGAGAGTTTCATAGCTGATGGTTATCTAAGCTGTGCTTATAGTTAACACGTGTCTAACAATACCTAACTCAAGCCTCGCTAACAAATCCATTCCACTCTCTAACCTGGCATTCAATGGTTAGACTCCTAGTTAATTTTCACGTTGAGGATTGGCGATTTTATCATCAAAACTTAGCGACCAACGTGACTGAAAACTTGGCAACACTGTGTCTCCAATACAGTTGTTAAGAATGAGAATATGAACTTAATCTAACACAAAAGGTTAAGTTTCGAATAGGGAGTTTTACTTGTGGTTGACACAACCAATTTCAAGAAATAAGTTTAACTCAACATTGCAGATATGCAGGACTTTTCCTGACAATATGACTCAAAATTTCACCATAGCCTGTTAGTATAGAAAACTCATGCTTCCCAAACTCAAGTTAGTGAGCCCCACACAACTCACCATTGGAAAGCGTTGTAGTGGAAGTAAACAAGACCAAGACCATAGAGAAATGTGGTATCCTGCCAGTGATTCTCTGCTTGTGTCTTGTAGAACATCTGATATGCTGATAGAGCTGAAATTATTTCATTATTAGTTTATTTTCCACAACACTCCAAGCCCTATAATTGATATTTATTCTACAGCGTAGAATATTGTTTTATTTTACTGACTGCATAGACCTAATGATGCTCAGAAGTCAAAACTATACTGAATTTTTTTGAAACATAGCAGCCACTTAACCCCAAAAAGTTTCTCAAGATTTGATTATACAGACAACACACAACAAAACAGTAAAGTGTCATGTTTACATATGAAATAACAAACATAATTTATATTTTCTCTCAAGCAATGCTTAGATGTTAGTAAAATTACCTTTTCGATAATCTTCAAGTAGTAAATGAAAATGGCCCAACTTAACCCAAGTTTTTGGGTCTATACTGATGTTTTTAACTTGGCAATTATTGGGTTCATTCTCATTTTGCTCCTTTTGCTGTCTGCGAGCTTGGACAACCATCATTTGTAGATATTTTACAGCCTACAATAAAAACAAATCATCATATTTTCGTTAATACATTTGATTTTGAAGCTCATACCTTCTGGATCAAAGCTTTCTTTTTGGCATTCTCTGCTAGGTTCAGATTCAAAAACCCATACTGCCGGCTGAAATATAATCATGAATTGTACTCCAATCTTGTTTTTGTAAGCAAAGCAAGTTCAAAAAATATATTTACCTATCCAAGTCTGAAAGAACATGCAGTTCTTGAGCTGTCATAGTGATATCGTCTGACTCTTCAGGACGACTAATGGTTTTGTTCATTTTGCACAAATGTTTGAGAAGTTAAATGGAGGAATATCTCCAACCACTCTATAAATAAACTGAAATAACCCAAGTTCACTTTTCCGCGACGAATAGGTTTCAGGAAACCTATTAGGCTTCGGCCATACTGAGCTTTTCTACAGCGTTGCCAGCTCAACACAGCCTGAAGAACCTTTCGTTAGAGCCAGATGCCAGGTCTTTCCAGAAGCAACTGCCCCCAGAAACACACTTCCACAAGATAAAAAATTTATCCTTTAAGAATCATCGTTGAATCGATTGCTGTTTACAAAAAAAACATAGCCTTAATAGAAAATATAATCATTTAGGGAAGGATCCTGTAACCTGACAACGCTGACTTTTTTTACGTATCGAGTTTTGTTTTGCATTGTGGCTCCCTCTGTTGTCGAACAATCACAACTATGTAAGTGTAGGTAGGAAGGATTACAGATTGCATTCAATCCATTATCTATAGTGCAGTTAGCTTATATTTTGTGTAACAAAACATCATTATAGATAATGGATACTTATCCAATATAAATGTGGTATTGATACTTGGTACAAATGTTAGTTTGGTGCTAGAACACATAGGTGTCCAAAAGCAGTCCAGCAAATTTCTGTTTTTTGTATCGTATGAACCGAAGACGAAAATGGAAATTTTGCTATAAACAGTCGTATAATAATAATAATAATAATAATAATAATTATGTTCATTGGTCTAACTACGAAGTTTTCGTATGAACATGAGAAAAAAAGTGTACTTGTGCTTCGGTTTTAACCGAACTTGAATTATACGAATACAACAAACCTCCCTTCAGTATACTACTTAGTCCAATGTATAAATCTGTAACAATTTATTATTACATAACATATTGATTTTTAATGTGTACAAGCTCATGGATATGTTGCATTGGTTGACTTAAGTTTTCTATAAGAAAATTCTCGAAGACCCCTGCGTATCTATGATAAACAAGTATTCACTGCTTGGGTGAGTCAGATAATTATTAGGGTGGGTCAAAAAATTTTTTTTTCGGTTTTGAAAAAGGCTCAGTAATAAAAAGGTGCCAAATGGTGCCGTTAGTTCATATGTAAAATTTTATTACATAATTCTGAGTTTTATTGCCTCCGGATTGTACTAAAGCATTGTTTGTACGTAAACTTCTAGCGTCTCCTCGGGCGTCACTTTACTAATTCTTTATGCATCTTCGATTATGGTTCCTGTTACTTTGGTTGCCTAAGCGTTAGTGTTAGCTACTGTTTGGTTGAGTTCAAGTAGCCAGGGAGAGGGAGGGGTAAGAGTGGGGGTGTTAGGTAAGACACACGGGTAAGACAAGTCGCGCACAGTTCATCGCAATCAGTATCTTGCGTTAGAAAGTGCGGACGTGTAAGTTTCGCTGTCAGAAAAATGGAACGTACTCGAAATAGTTGGAAGTGTCCGATATTTGGTGATTTAAATGACTTGAAAGACAACGTATTGCCAACCTATGGGGATGTAATGCGATTTTATGAGTGGACCCGACACAGGTTGAAATACGAGAGAGAAACAAATAAAGAGCCAACATATAAAGAAATAGAGGCCATTGTAGTTGCAAGACTGATAGAAATATGGGCAAAATCCTCTATCCCTACAGTTGAACCCAAACGAATGAAGGTAATGTTACAAACGTATCACTTAAAATGCAAAAATCTCCTCAAATCTAATCCAAGAATACCTAAAAACACGTTGGAAGGGTTTCGTCTTGGGAGTAAAGCCTTGTTTGATATTTCGGCTTGCAAGTGTCAAGAGTTTCTCAAATGTGCTTGCCCGAAAAACAAGAAAATACCTGCAAGAGAACGTGGCTTTATAACTGATCAACGAACCGCTAGGCAAATGGTGATAGGTGCCTTAGATGTTGTCACAACAACAAAAATTACAAAAACACTGAAAAGGAAGTCAATACGAGAAAATTCTAAGAGCAAACGACTGAAAAAAACCGAAACATGTACGGAAAAGCTGAGTAGCACTTCTGAATCCGAAAGTGTTCAGTCCGATGCTGAAGAACCAACACAAATCAAGTTGAGGACTTCAAGTGGTCAATCTAAGAGTGACACTAGACTTGATTATACTTTGCTATCAAAAACATGCGATAGATTCGGAGTGTCGGATAGGGCAGGAGCAGCTATCGCATCAGTTGTTCTACATGCGTCGGGTTCTCAAGTAATAGATAAAAATAAACTACGCCGAGAACGAAAAAAGGCCAGAGAAAATATAGTTTCACAGCAAACTGTTTCACAAATACACGCATTGTATTTTGACGGAAGAAAAGATCAGACTCTAATGATGTCTAAAATAGAAGGAAAAAACTATAGAAAACGCATAGTTGAAGAGCACATTTCTTTGATAAAAGAACCTTATTCGGAGTTTTTAGGCTATATTACACCTGCTTCAGGCACTGCAAAGTGTATAGCAAATGAAATATTTGACTTTTTCTTGAATGCTGATATATCCGTCGATGATTTAACTGCAATTGGATGTGATGGAACTAATGTGAATGTTGGCATATATGGCGGTATTATACGACTGCTAGAGAAACGGTTAGGTAGACCCTTAGAATGGATTATTTGTTTATTCCATATGAATGAACTACCATTTAGACATCTGTTCCAATATATTGATGGTAGTACCTCTGGACCACGAACATTTTCAGGAACGATTGGCAAAGATCTCGAGAACTGCGAAAAAAGACCTATAAGCAAGTTTAAGCCTATTCCAACGAGCTTACCGGAGCTTTCTGCTAAAGATATCAGTACTGACCAAAAATACTTGTACAGAATGGTTGAAGCAATCTCAACCGTTGTATTTCCTAGCGATTTGGCTAATAAATCACCAGGTAAAATGTCGCATGCGAGGTGGCTGACTCGTGCGAACAGGATCCTCCGTCTGTATGTTTCTGTAGAGACTCCGCCTGAAAGTCTAACTATTCTTGCAACGTATGTTATCAAGGTTTATGCTCCGATATGGTTTTCTATAAAATCTCATTCTAGCTGTAAAGATGGATCGCGACACTTTTTCAAACTCATCGAGTTATCCAGATATTTACCAGCAAATTTGAAATCTATCGTCGATCCAGTAATTCAAAGAAACAGCTATTTCGCACATCCGGAAAACGTATTGCTCGCAATGTTAACAGACTCTCAGCCGCACATTCGTGAATTAGCTGCACGACGCATTTTGAAAGCTAGATCAGTAACAACTAAAGATTTGCGCATTTTTAAGTTACCACAGATTAACTTCAATGCATCAACGTATTATGATCTTTTGAATTGGCAAGAAGATATCTCTGAGCCACCATTATTGAAATCTGTAACCGAAAAATATCTCCGATTATTTATTGAACAGAAAGGAGAAAGAGACTTGGATTTCTTACGCCTTCCTTGTCACACACAAGCAGTAGAAAGAGCAGTCAAAGCTGTAACCGAGGCCTCAACCACTTTGTGCAATAAGCTAATGAGAGAGGGATTCATCAAAGCCCAGATGGACTCGAGAAAAGCAATGCCAAAATTTGATAGCAAAAAGGATTTCTCTACAAAATAAACCCCTCGCTCAATGATTATTCATTATTATTTTTGTTGTAAACATTATTTTCTGTTCAATAAACGTTTACTTACTATTCATTCAAGACATTTATTTGTAAATTATATTCATTAGTGTGACTTTGTATGCCACGCAGTTATACCTCCTTCCTCCGGAGGCAGAAGATTAATTCTGATTGCAATCAAACTTCATAACATGTTCACACTCATGATTTAGCACCTTTTTGTCACTGAGCTTATGAAAAAAAGGAACATTTTTTTTTTCACATATAAAAGTGACCCACCCTAATAATTATGTAGATTCCGAGTATAATGTCAATCGTTAGGACCCACGGAAAATTCCACGCGATTTATCTTCATTCTCGGCCTCACGTCACTTTGACGGGCAACACTCCAAATCAAAAGTTTTTTACTCCGAAGCAGCCACGCAGGCAGAAGTCTATAGATGCCAGGGCACCGCGGCTGGTATGAGAATCCAGGGGACATAGTGACGTCATGTCTAATATCGACATTTTCAGGGCACGACTGACGTACGCCGACCAACAAAAAATGACGTAGAAATTTATTAAATGACGTCATTGTATGTCGTATAAAATACCATGCACAATGTCGATATGACGTTTTTATGACGACGATATGACGTACAGTCGCTCGCAACAATAATCGCGCGCTGTATCCAAGTGCTCCTGAAAAATTGAGGATGTGACAACGTCGGCCTACAAGCGGGAGTTCAGGAGTAGTAGAAAGGCGCTGAAACTCCCATTCTAATTATCTACTATTCTTGAACCCTCTCGTACAAAGTGTATCGGAGTGATTACTGAAGAACTAATAACACCGTTTGATCTCCAACACGTTCAGTCCTACGATGGTTCAGAATTTGTTTGTGGCAATTTATCAAAGTCGCTTTGCTTTTTCACAGGAAGCAAAAACACTAACTTGTTTCCTGGTTGTCACACAAGCCATATTGTCTATGCGGCAATACTATCGTCTCCACTACATTGTACCTTAAAGGTGACGAAGTCATCGCGATGTCGGCCAAATCCATAAATTTATGAAACAAAATGACCGAATCACTGCCAAACAGCGAACACGCATGGAGTTTGGTCGAGCTCACCGCCAACCTCAATCGCCGAGCCCCCAAGGTATATTATCTTTTTAAAATTGCTTATTAGATTTTATAGACAGAATATGGACACAGGCAAGAAACGTGTATAACATTTTAATAAATGCTCTATGTACTCGCTGCATTAAACTTCAGCCACACATGCAACTTTCTCAAGTCATTTGCACACATTCATCCAAAGATTACATTCCCGAAAATGCCAGGACACCGCGGCTGCTATGAGAATTTCAAAGAAATCCTGTTAATTGGATTTTCGAACTGCCTAAGGTTACTGGAACTGGAAAAATGGATACCCTAGGGATACAGGAAAAGTCGTACCGGCCAGTTCTGCATCTATGAAATTCGACACGGTTAGGATTGGAGGCCGGGTCTGTCTGGTAGACACATCACGCGGCGCCATCATGGAGTAAAACTCTGAGGAGCAAAAGCCTATTAACGATTTGAAAATCCTGGTAAATATCTAAAATTGGCACTACTCTCAAGATAGAATTGACCTAAAATTAGAATGGATTACTTAAAACTACTAGATCTTAGGAAATAAACCACAAATATCTACGTCATACAGACGTCA